GGAGTGAGACTCATTGCTTGCTGTTGAAGAGCGAATAGAATGAGACACATTCCCTGTTGATGCCAATGATGAGTGTATCAGACGAGATCCATTGCTTCTTGCCGAGGAGCGAATGGAGCCCAGACTTGGTGGATACGAGTATTCTGGAGTTTCACTGCCACTGGCAGATCGTGCCCTACTGCTAAACTCGGGTTGAAGAACTGGGTGGTCCAGAGGACCATGAAGCCGCGAACGGGGGTCTACTGAGGGTTCCGATCTGCCCATCCAGCTTTGCTGAAGTCTCCCTGTGTATATTCGTTAACATATGCGACGAGGGCTAGCAATGTGAAATTTAACTCACCAAGATGTGCATTGCTGCTTTGTTTCGAACGTTTGTCGTAAAATTCCTTCGTCAGCCTTTTCAGCTTGAATACGATCTCCTTTAGGAACGCGTTGAATGAGTATTTGGATTTTTATGTAATTTGGGCTTGGAACTTTACGCCTGTCAATGGATATTCTGTTTCCAGATAATAACCTTCTTCGCCCTAAATCCAGACTTTTATTAGAAATCTCTATGGTTTGATCAAAAAGTGTGGCATCAAGGACTCGGATGATGAACGTAAAAAAATTCAAAGACTTCTACATACCGTGCAAACATTAACTCCTCTGCGCCATTTTACGCCTTTTCCCAAATACTTTTTCGCCTCGGCCTCTAAGACCTGCGGGTCGATTCCGGCGCCTGGAAGAAACTGAACATTGTCCTCCGTGTTGAAATTTCTAAACATATCTCGAAGCCGCATAAATATCCTTTGCAGGCTGGAGAATCGATGTTGACTTCCGAGTCGTAGAGATTTTATTTCCGTTTGATGGCACGGAAATTTATGTAAATTGCAAAAACTGAAGTCGGAAACGCTGATTTTGTCGATTCATGAGTTGAGAGCGCGCTTAGACCAAACTGACTAGAACGAGGCTGTTACGCGGGCGTTGAGCTGCTTAAATATATTGTGAGTTTAGCATTGACATTTGATCGTTGAGCTTTGAACATTTGCGCGGGATGCTTACCTGCACGAATATCCGACTGTTCTGATCACTCCCTTACCCCCTTTAGGGAACCACGAAATCCGTGTGAGAGGGCACGAGACTATGTGAGAGATAATCCGTCCGCTGGTAGGTACCAGTTCAGAGGCTTTGATATTATTGTACAACCCCGCCGAAGGAGGGCCGGGCGGGTTTGTCTAAAGAACCGCTGCGATGCACTCGAGTAGAGTACTTCAGTTAAGTACTGATGTGAGAGGGTCTGTCTATAATTGTTCGGCACCAATCACTGATAAATTTAGGTTCAGTGTGGCCTGCGGGAGGGATGTATAGGATGTAAGACCTGATGGTTCACTCCCAACGTTGCGTTGTTCCAGGCGGCATTCGTGCATGCGGTACCAGGCTGGCTGTGCAGCTGTGTGTGATTAATCGGGATCCTAGGTCATTGGAGATTGCTCAATGGCTGTGCTGCTTCGAATCCAGTGTCCGTGGCGTGTGCTCGTTGTCCGCCATTCCAGTGTGGTCATGTTTCCTTCGGCCAATCCTCGCCGCTCGGTTGTACATAAATCTTGTGCGACCACCCACAACATCCAAGCACCCCTCCCAGTGTCTCAGAGCTCTCACAGATCCTAGCTAGCCGTATGAAAGAAGCCTTTTAAGTTTTTTCTCCTGGGTTAACCACGGGGCTAAGTTAACCTTCAAACATTAAAGATCTGATGGCGCCAAGTAGACGTCAGAATAATTTGCGTGCATGTAAACGCAAAAAGGATTCGCCTGATCCGGAAATTCGACACTGCTCACAAGATCTTAAGAGTCTCGTTCGAATATATCATCACATTGGGGTGGACTAGTCTCGTGGGGTGGACATTGAATTCAGGAGTCCAGCAAAGTAGAGGTTGCTATTTCATTCGCCAAATATTGCTGTTCAGGGTTCTTGATAAGTCAGTCTGGCTCCCCGCTTGACCAGTACAATTGTCCGATAGTCTCATTGTACATGTCCGATCTTTAATCTCTTGAGACTAATTCCTTCTTGAATTTGGGTTGGCCTTGGGATGTTGTGGCATAGAATTGAGCTATGTAACATTGATATCCGTATCCTCGGCTTCGTCCTCGGCTTGATCGGCTTTCGCTGCTCGGTTTTCGCCAAATCGGCTCGGCTGTGTGGATACACAACCAGTGTAAATTGCACTCAAGAACGGTCAAGTTCATTATGTATTTTTAGGGTAACATCACGTACCTCTTTGCATTCGATTGCCAAACATTCATCAAAACATTATTGACGCTGATATTGCATTGTTTCACATACATCCTGGATTCTGCCACAATGTGAATTTTTGCACAGCCACTTTATTATTTGAAGCAATTGGCTAAAATCGAGGTAGAATTGAATCGATTAACGTTCCCGCAAATTCTGCGCATGTCGTTGGTACGTTGATGGTTAGCATGGGATTTATATAATGAATTCGCTAAATATATCAGCTACAGCCTCAACCCTTGCATGAGACTCCCCAATCACTTTACGCAAGTAATTGAGATGAAAGCTTCCATTTTTATCACCGTTGCTGATCGCTCAATCGGAATTCGAATTCGAACTCGCAGTGATTCGTATGTTTGCACATGGTGTAATATACGCAGGAAAGCTCCATCAGAAGACGATTGAATTCAAGATGGGTGTTAATAAGCTTGTAGCTTTGAACTAGTTTTCAAATGTTCGCCGAATTCACATGCTGGATAGAATATCTACAGGTCTTTTGCAGCTGCCTTATCGACATGTCTAAGGCTGAGCATCCTGATCGAGTTGGAATCTAAGTAATTCGTAAGTTTATATATTATCTCAGGAGGAATATAAAAATAAGCACTCACCAATCGGCTTTGCTATGTGGATGAGCTGATGATATTGTCTTCCAGTGAAAAGGCTCTGATATTGTGCTGCCTAATCTGCCTACATCTGAGCATTCAAAAGAGGAAAATCGAGAAAGCTGAAACTCCATCTCGGAGCCCCCGGGTGTGAACTCGCTCCCAACTCTTTTCCTCGAAGTACCAGTACCCATGCTGAAAGCTATGTAAAAATGGCATTATGTTCCACTCGTGCACGAGTAGAAGTCTTGGATATGCTAAGTCATTATTCAGCCATCCATTTCTGTACTCGATATGACAAAAAACACGTTATCTTTCGTTTGGGTTGTGGATGTTTGTTTTTAGCTTAACCAGGAAAGAGAGTGAAACGGATATCTTACCCACTTTCTCTGAACCAATGGCCTATGCAGTAGGTTTGGATGCCATTAATGTGTGTGGCTGCAACCTCGATCCGCGCGGCAGTGTTTACCTTCAAAATCTGCCTACCTTAAGGAAAGATGCCTTGCCTGCTAGAGTTTCCGATTCTGATGCACGGTGGACAATAGAAGAGCTGGCATTCGGTTACAAGGATGCGAGTTCTTGGGGCAGGCCAGGCTGGGAGCGAGAAGCATCTCAGGGCTGGTGGGCTCGCAAGAGAGTCCAGTATGAGGAGGATGGTTGAAAACAGCCTTGCCCTGTTCTCGTCTCGGCCCTGCCGTTGAGGTTGAATTGGGATAAGGTTAAAGATAGCCTCGTACCCAACCCCTCGTCTGGTAAAGATCATTCCCGTGGTAAACTATAAGGTTGTACAACAGTCAAGGCTAGTCCTGGAGGTGTTCTCGTTGCTGGAGGTGAGGGCGAGAACAGTGCCGGAGGTAGGTTCGTGCCTAGTCCCACGAAGAGGGCTGGAGGAAGATCTATGGACAAGAAACGGCCGGTTGGACTGGTCACGGGACCGGCATCCGACTATATGGCAGTACCGCATTGAGTGATTGAACATTCTTGGGCGCCTACCCAATTAGGTTGTCTCGTGCCCGGCCCCTCCTTAGTCTCGCCCCCTCCTCGAAGTTGGCACCAGCACCTTCTCATGTTCATGTTCGAATTCATGTTTGAATACCTGAAGTCCGTATGGCCATATAGATTAGATTTCCCAAAACATTTTACGCCAGCTCAATTCTAAAACTCTCCAAACCTATGTGGGAACGAGCGAGAGTAGATCCATGTGCAACGGCCACGGGAACCGTGACCGTCACGGCCATCCCGAACAATGCATACCTAAGGTAGATTCAGCGTCTAATCCAGATCTGCGTGCACGCAGCATGATTCTGCATGCTAGCTATACTGAAACAAGCATGATGCGCAGTCAACGGCGGCTACTCTACCCGCGAGGAACTCGAACTAGTGGCTATCTTTACAACACTTGAACGGCTAGCTAGAATTGAATTGCAAATGACCAGGAATAAGTGTAGACACATGTGAGACCTACTTTTTCTCGTGGATTTATATTTACTGGAGTCTATGTATACGTATTAATTATGGGAATAGAGATATCATGATCACGCAATCGACATATATATATCGTGCAAGCTGATGCAAATAGTAAAATAGTACATATGTCCAGTCATCATCCAATTCACTTGCTTTGGATGAATTTGAAATTCACTACTAGATACGTAGGCACTTATATGCCTTAAGTACCTAGACTCTGCTCAAGTAAGCTTCGGCCGTCCAGGCGCTGGATGTTGTCAAATAGACACCACTTACCCTCAGCCGAATGAGACTACTCAGCCGAATATGCCTCGCCCTAATTTGCAGTGCTTATAAGAAAAATGGCATAGCCCACCTTGAATTCTGTCCTAGATCTCTTAAATTCACAATACGTAGAATCTGCTCCTCGGCCAAAGTTAATACAATTGCAATTTCAGAAGGTTTGCAATGGTGAGATCTAAACCAATCAATCAACCAGTATCCCCCGAAATGTATTGACGATCCACAAGGTACCTATATACCTTTAAACAAGAACACCTTCAGCCATTCCATTCATTCTCACCAGCGCAAAAAAATCAAAACACGAACCCCAAAAAGATAATTTATGTACGCAACCACCCCCCCCCCAAAAAAAAAACCCGATAATGAAAAATAAAAGAAATTGCCTCCTAGCGGAATTGAACCACCGATCTTCGCATGTTCTTTCGGAACAACTGTTTATCCTCTTTTAGATGAGAACGCCAAGTCGAGCTTACAAGTGCGACGCTTTACCACTGAGCCAAGGAGGCGTGTTGGATTGATGCCAATTGAGATCATGTGTAACCTTAATACCCATTTGTGTTACGTATGAAATGCGTTCTGTTGCAATGCAACTCTTGATAAAGCCAACTCAGAATAGATGAGGAGGTAGGTCTCGCATTGTACGCTCGACCCTAAATATTCATTCTTTCTGTTAATTTACTGGATCATGAACTTCACTCATGATCACCCCGCAGGCGCGAACCCCGGCGGGGCACGAGGTTCTTTCTTTCTCGGCTAAATGCGACTCGAGGCTAGCTAAATGCACATGTGGGTGGGCGACGGATTCGAAAAGGTTCTAAAGTTCCTTCTACTTAGCCGTTTTCGGTAGTGGGGTAATGGCGGGGTTAATTCGAACTTTTGATCTTGCCCTCCCCCCCCCCCCCCGGGAGTTAATGTGTTCTCGTGCTCTATGTAGAGTAGAGCAAGAGGGTAAGACGTTAGGTGCCGGGCAATCCACCGTCTCGCTAATGGAAGTTTTGGGGCCAAAGTTAATCTCAGGAAAACGCTCGGAAATGCGAAAGCTGGATACATGTTTGGGGTAAATCACTGCGACTAAATATTCATGGCGATGGTAGGTATCCATGAAGCTCAGGTAAAATGACATTGATGATATCGATGTGAAAATGGAAAAGGTGTAGTTTATATCGTAAAGAAACATAAAAACAAAAGAAAACGTGAAGGTAAGTATAACCGCTAAATGAACAAATATTGATACATCTGACGATGATCATGACATGACAAAGATGTAGAAAAACAACAAGATAGTAGAGTTTTTTGGGTAAGAAAAAACTAGATATGTAGGTTAGTAGGGAGTCATAAAGCCGGCGAGCGCGCGAGCGATGAAGATGAACAAAAATACAAGCAGGAAAGCACTAGTACAGTAATTAGTGAGTTTGGGCGCTTATAGCGAAGCCTCCAACTCCATCATCTCCTTAATTCCCTCCTTAACTACCTCGACTTGCTCTGCAGTCAATGGCTGCAATGGCTGTCTTGGGATTCCTCCGTAGCCAAAGTAGCTCTGGATGGCGCTCTTTGTTCCTGCGATGGCAGACTTTGTCAAGACCCAATCACCGGCGGCAAGCTTCTTTTGTGCCTCAAAGGCCTCTGCTATCTTGCCCTGCTTGTAGAGGTTAAAAACACGGACATTTGCTTTTGGCGAAACGTTTGCGCCTCCGGCAATGACTCCGCAACCGCCGACAATGAGGCCCTGGATGATGAAGTCGGACATTCCAGAGAAGGCCATGTATCCGGATCCCTGCTTGAACACATCGTGAGAGTCCATTGCGAGTGCTACTCGCGCGAGCTTGCCGGTGTTTCCGCAGGTGAATTTTGTGCCGACGATGTTTGGGTGCTGAGAGAGCTTGATGATGAAGTCACTGTCCATGTCGATTCCGGCTACGGCGCCGGGGTAGTTGTAGAGGACGATTGGGATTGGTGATCCATCAGCCACCTTTGTGAAGTATGCCTCGATGGCAACATCGTCCATCTTTGTGCGGAAGAAGCTGGGGGGGATGATCAGAGCATAGTCTCCGCCTGCGGCCTTTGCGTCTGTGCAAAGGATGATGGTTTCCCGGACGGATTGAGCGCTGCATCCGACCATGACGCTGACGGCGGTGTAGCCCGCTGCGTCGAGGGCATCTCGGGTGGTCTTTGTGACGAGAGCTCGCTCCTCGCGGCTAAGGTGGACGGCCTCACCGTTGCTGCCGCAGGTGACGAGTCCGACGAGGCCGGCTTCGGCGAGACGGACAGAGTGCTTTGCAATCGTGGGGAGGTCGAGGTCTTCTGTCACCGGGTCGAAGAAGGTCATAGTAGGGGCATAGATGCCTGGGATGAGGGGCACTGGAGCACGTTCTGTCGACATTATTGCGGATGTGTGGGGGAGAGCTTGAGGGAGAATGTAATTGGTCTGGAGAACTGCCGAGACTGATGAAGTTGGTATAGATGAGGTCGATGAGGGCCGTTTGGGAGTCGATATAAATGTGGGCTTATAGAGCAATGCGGGGTGGTGCTTTATAGGGATAACAGAGAGCTTTCAAGCTACCTACCTCGCTAAACCTACCTCTACTTCCTCTACCCCCCCAGTCAGGGTCGGTATATCTGACCGCTAATGCCCATCGAACGGCTGTTGAAGCTGTGATCCCAGCGAGCTGCCTGCCGGCCCTAGATCGATCGATTTCTCTTCGGTCGCTGTTCGGTTAAGGTACATGCGCCCCCGCCGCACGTCAAGGTGCGCGTGAGCACTCCGGCCGCGAGACTACCTCACACGGAGGGAAACAGACCGTCGTTTGGCGTGATGTCGCTAAGGGTGTGTGGGGGATGCTGTTAGTATTAGAGTCGTGGGATCTGGGGAGTGTGGGGGTGGGCCCTCGCACTGGGTACGAGAACAGGCCCTCGCCATGAGCATGGGTTTCCAGGGACCTTTGGCGTACTCTCGTCAAGATGGCATGGGAGAATGATTTTCCGCATTCTCGGCGTCCATCTGGCCATTGTATAGTCTCATGCCAGCCATTGTAATAATTGTTGAAGAGAACTTCTGGTTGTATGTAATCAAATATACAAATAGATGTCCATTTGATATCCCTTCAATCCTACTGGAGCCCCTCCAGGGCTTTTGAGATCGAGGCCCATTGCTCGACAAATCTTTGTAGACGGCACAGCATAGACTTTGCGATTGTGGCACGAGTCAAAGAGTTTGTTGAAAAAAAAGCAAGATTAAATGGTACTGAATGTGTTTTAGGCTGAAAGAAGGCAATTGCAAAAAGCGGAAGTACATGTATCCAGGCTACGGAAGTATGGGGTATACAAATGCCGGATCTGGAGCCGGAGTTTGCTTCTTCATCCCCGGCCGCGGAAACACCTCCACTGCACAATATACAATTTCTAAACAGCCTGAGATCGAGCTCAACGACAGCAGGCACTGTCTTGCAACTTCTTCACCCACCACTTACTCCACAGCAATCGAGGACGAGACTACAATCGAGGGCATAAGACCACAATCGATAATGGTAACTGAAAGACGGTCTTGGCATGAGACTAATCGAATGGGGAGGGGTGAGGTGGGAGGGCAGCATTAGGTAATGTTTTGGGGGCGGGAATAGAACAATGTTCGCCTTGTGAGCAGTCATCTCGGGCTTCGGTACAAACGCCTGCGCATACGTTTCGCAACAAGTGTCTAGTGCGCCATCCTGCTGGTGCCGTGCCCAGCCTGGAGGAAACGGTTGCAGTGGCGCATCATTCTTTCGCTACGGACTCGGCCGCAGTATCTCGTGGTTTGGAAGCCTGAAGAGCCCCGATCATCTGCCCGTATGCGATTTCAAGCCCTGCAGAGCATGGACGCAGTAAGAGTTTTAGGACACCTCCCTGTCCATACCGATCTCGATGGGACCAGGGAGAGGATTGGTAGGACATGAGAGGAGTAGAGGCACATGACTTGATCCAATCTGATAAGATTACATTAGGGCTTCAATAGACGACCCAATTGAGCCCATTGCCGCATTTGGCTGTAGAATCACCTGACCGTCGTCTAGTCTCATACCGTCGTCCTTCCTCACCCTTCCTCCCATCTCTCCCCCACCATGATGACGTTACCTATGATGAGGCTCATCACGTCACGAATCCGCATTCCTCTCTGCTATTAAGAAGGATGTCGGAGCCGGGCTCCCTCCCCCCTTCGATCCATCCCATTCATTCATCAGACTTACCTTCCTCTCTCACTCACAGCCTGTTCATTGACGGTCTGCAAAACAATTCACATTCGTTATCGTTAGTCTCAAGCACCTCATGTTTCTTGAACCCTCTTCATGTGTAATTGGAGTTAACTAATACATTGGACAAGCAGATTTCACATAAATTACAATGACTGAACGCAAGATCCTCATCACCTCCGCTGACGGCCAAACCGGCCATCTCGCCGCCGAACTCCTCCTCACCGACGAAAAAATCAAAACTAAACATACCGGCCTCACCCTTCTCACCAGCAACCCTTCAAAAGTCGAAGACCTAAAGGCCCACGGCGCTACGGTCACCGAAGTCGACTACGACACCTCTTCTGCCGAGGATATCGCAAAGATTCTCAAGGATAGCGGGGCCAATACCGTATACTTGATCCCCCCTGCCCACAAGAGCAAGGTGGAGATTGTGGAGAAGCTGGTAAAAGCGACAAAGGAGGCGGGTATCGCAAACTTGTTGTTCCTGTCGAGTGCGGGGTGTGATTTGGCCGAGAAGGAGAAGCAGCCTAGGCTGAGAGAGTTTGTGCACATGGAGGCCTTGGTGATGGAGTGTAAGGGGGATCATAGTACAAAGGCGGGATATTCGCCTGCTATCATTAGGTTTGCTCTCTTTGTTATATTCTTTTCTTTTTTCTCTTCCTCTTTTCAATTTGATGACCTTTTCTTCAAATTTAATTTCAGTTTCTTTGATAGCTGACTTGCGGAATGTATAGATCCGGATTCTATGCGGAGAACCTCTTGCTATACAATAAGCAGGCCCAGAGCTCTGGAAAGCTCCCACTGCCTATTGGTGAAAACCACAAGTTTGCACCAGTTGCACTTGGTGACCTAGCTCACCTCGCTGCCGTCATTTTGACCAGTAAAGGGCCCCATGGCTTCAGTGACGCCCTCCGGTATGCATTCATCATTTATTTCTCCATACTCTCCCCAAATCTCGTTCTCCTCAATCCAATTTCTCTCAAACCCAAACTAACCCCCCCTCAAACAGCGGCCAACTCATAACCCTCACGGGCCCACAACTCTGCTCCGGGCCTGACCTCGCCACCTCGGCCTCGCAATCTCTCAACACGCCCATGGAATACGAGTCCCTCACCGCCGACTCCGCCAAGGAGATCCTCGCAAAACAAACAGACATCGACGACTCGGAGAAGGAGTACCTCCTCGAATACTACTCGCTCGTGCGCGACGGAAAGACAAACTACGTCAGCACCCTGGCGTTCAAGCAGGCCACCGGCAACGACCCCACCCTCCCGAGCGAG